CTCGATTTACTGTTTTGCACATTTCTTGTGGTTTATCACGTTTTATAGTTACTTTATTATATCTGAAGTGGAAATTTGCAACGCAAAGAAGTCGATAAAAACCACAAACGCACTTATTAGTGACTATACTCAAGTATCTTACGGTATTTATTTGTTTGGTGTTCTTAAAGAATTTGAATGATTTAATGAGTAATTGCCACAATGCGTTTCTGCGAAATGTAGGGGTTAGCAATAAAAAGGCGCCAATTAAAAATATATACAAAGACTTTGTTTAGCTCAGCATGATTTTTTCTTCATATCGATGTCCATTTGATTCCCTGCGTTAGACCGTTCCACACTTCCGTTTTTTCTATATACCTTCCTCATTCTCTAAAATATCTCTGGAAATGTTATTAAGACACACTACCATATATACAAGAGCAGCAACTAAAAAAAGATAAAAGCACCTGTCAACACCAATTTTATATATTAGGAGTATTATTCTCTCCTACCTTGAACAAAATAGTACAATTATTATCCGGAAATACGGAAGTTTATTGGTTGTTCTTATCTTTTTTATATACCAAATATATGAAGTATAATCTTTGTCTTCGTCTTATGTAAGTTAGTTAATTTAGGTTCAATGATTGACCCTTAAGATGGGGATAACATTTGGACTACTAAATATACGGTCTGAAGCTAGAAAATAAAAATCATGTAATAAGATCTTATAAATCGACAAACGGCATTGAGGCCAATATAAGTCAGCTGTGGTTTTTTATTAATATTTCCACCGGCTCACTGACATGTCTGAAAGTGTGAGCTTCCAAATGTTAAATAAAACTCATAAAACCGAGACAATGAAAGAGGAGGGGCTAAGATTTTTCTACCACGTCAGCTTCTTACCGCCTGACCATCGATTGGGTAACGACCAGTTAGAATTCCTAAGACTAAATAAAGGCTAACCTTACTGAGGATAAACCTCTTGCCAAGAACTTTGGAATGATTTTGCGACAGCGCCAGAACTAATGCTAGCCCAGCGGCGGCCGAACTCTCTAATAGTAGGTTTCACGAAGAGAGCGGAGCTTCGATCAGTTCCCATTATATTGACAACAGGGCCATACTAGTATTATCAAGAAGTGCCTCAATGACGTTGATAGCGAGGTTTGGCATTCTTTAACAACTCATGACTAGTGAACTCAAGGCTAGAATCGCCGACCTACAATCATAATGCATAATAATAATTTCTCTAGAAAAGCCTTCACTTCGGACCAGTAGATCTACGAATACTTCTATGGAAAAAAAATTAGCTTGAAAAACGCTACAATAGTCAGGAAGCCTGAATGATCTTGAGTAGACTGCGCCACCAACCTTCCAATAAGTATAGATACCTTTTTCAATAGCATTTTTTTGACAGATTACGCGTGAGTCGTGTCAAGCTGTCATGTTATTTTTGTTCAGTATTGTTTGGCATTTCTACTACTTACTTGATCTCGGCCATAACTAAGCTAAACGAATTTTAATATTTAATTATTACAATATGCGTTAAGTGTGATACCCAGGCAGATTTAAAAAGATTTATATCGGAAAAGGTCCGCCTTTATCGGCAGAAAGGTTATCGCCAATTAAAAAATATAAATTCAATGAAGTCTTAAAATTAAATTTATATAAAAATATGAAATCTTCGTACATCATATTAACAACTCAAAATAAATAAATAATTATTAGTTTATGGGTACTAAACAAAAAGATTTTTGAAAAAAGGTTTCCACCTATTTAAAAATATAAACTAATTTTTATCTGAGTTATTTTTCAAGAGTGATTCCATATTCCTGTAAATTAAATTCGGAAAAATTTATTAAATGAATAATATTTATATCAAATGGATTTTGGTTGAGAAATCTTTGTCACCCTAAAGATTTGTTACAAATATATAATAACTAATAGTAGAATTATGTCATCGAGCGTATATAGAGCCTATCACATTCTTAATTACACACCCTCTTAAATTAGTTATGGCAATAAAACGAGTTTTAAATTGAAAATACCATATATTATGCAAATTTTTATATATATTAATATAAAACATTTCTTTTATCGGGGCTTACTCGCTGTGAAACATAAACTAACTTGATTAATAATAATAAACTATTTTGAAATATTTACGCTCGTAGTACGAGTCCGTTGAACTTGCGCGGCATAAATTAGTTATTCGAAAAAGCAAAAAAATGTCAGCGCGAAAACTCATTTACATATGTACGACCTATTTTCGACCCAAACGGGTAATGCGCCTATTTACAGGTTGGTTGAAAAGTTGCTGCGCTCTAAATGAATAAAATACTGTTTTTGCTACGAAATATATATATTTTTTTTTTGAATATAATCTCCCTTAACACTTATTTCAATGATCGTCGAATAAGTTTAGGCCATCCCTATAATGACTTTCCGGAAGCTCTGAAAAATATCCGTCTACGTCTGCAATAGCTTCTTCATTCGACGAAAAACACTTTCCACGAAGGAATTGTTTCAGGTTTCTGAAGAGGCAGTAGTAGCTGGGAGCCAAATCTGGATGCTCAAGCAATTCGTACTTTAATTCGAATTTTGTTATTGTTAAAACACCTTTGTGTGCAGGTGCATTGTCTTGATGAAAAATTATTTGTTTGTGCTGCAAACCAGGTCTATTCTCACGAATTTTTTCATCCAGCTGATCTAAAAGGCTGCAATAGGTTAATTGTTTAACCTTTCTGCAGATAATCAATCGACAAAATTCCGTTTACATCCCAAAAACTTGATGTCACCTTCATTACTGATCGTTGTGACTTAACCTGCTTTGGAGCTGAACAACCAGCTTCATTCCACTGTAAACGTTCTTGTTTCAATTTATGATAATGGTGGTAGATACAAGTCTCATCCATAATTATAAAACGACGCAAGAGATTGGTTTTATTCTGCTTAAAACGCTCCAAATTATGCTGAGAAACTTGTTTTCGATCCATTTTTTGTTGAATTGTTAACGTGTGCGGCAATAACTTTCCAAACAGCTTTTTCATACGTAATTCTCCGTGTAAAATATGAAGTACTCGTTCTTCTGAGATGCCGTTGATATTAACAATTTCACGCTTAGTCAAACTTGGATCTTCACTAACAATATTATGAACTTGCTCAATTATTTCTGTTGTAGTTGCGGTTATTGGTCGTCCTTCGAGTGTATCACCTTCAAACCTAGTACTATCACGTTTAAATTCACCAGTTGAAAATTCAACCTTGCGTTTTTTAGATGAGGACGCCTTACACACATCTAACAATTGTTTATGAATTTCCTTAGCTTTTAAACCTTTCGAAACAAAGAGTCTAATCAACGCGCGATATTCAATTTTTTCCATATTAAAAAAATACTCTGACACGTCAACTTTAAATGGCTACTTTGCATGTGTTCTCACGACAGATGTACCAACTTGAGAAAAAAAAACGGAGCTAGTAGTGCTATTTCTTGGTGACACCAACCAACTTTTCAACCAACCTGTATTTACTATCTATAGTATAAAATGTGGCAAAATAATAAAAATTTGTTTAATTTAAACATAATTTTGGTTTTAGTGAGAATATTTTCTAACATATCTATATGATTATGAAATATTGATCGATAAAGGTTATTAGTCGTAATTTGCATAATAAATAATATGGAAAACTAATATATCTGATTTTAAAAAAATGTTATAGGGAAATTTTGTAAACAAAAATTCCATCATGTAATTTCAATTTGCTTTTGAAGAATAAGTGAAAAAGTAAGAAATGAAGCGGATAAACGTATAATATAATCATAATTAAGGGCGTGATGTTACATAAAATCATACTGAGCATTTTAATTAATATAATAAAATTATTTTTAATCTCTACGTAATATCCTAAAATATTAATGTAAAAGACATGTCGGCTCTATTAAGTATATACCGGTTTACCTTTCTTTTCATGCCAAATTAGTAATCCATTAAATACAAAAAACAATTAAACTTAATGCTCATTCTAGCGGTATGCTTTTTCTTAGATTGTTTACCTTTCAAATATAAAAACTAGCTAAATAACTATTTGACTAAGGAATACAAAATGTCAATAACTTTGCATTCGTATTTCCGAGGAAAGAAGAAACAGAGCTTTTTATTTAAAAATAAAATAGGGGACCATTTTTTTATCGTTTTAGTTTTATTTTACCTAAAGAAGTTGGAAGAACAATTTTAGTTCTCATAAAAAATATATTTTCGGACCTTTTCCGTTTTTAGATTACATATAACACAGTAATTTACCAGCTAATTAACCATAAATAATTACCAAACATTATAAGCTATTTACATGATCACGGCAATTTACTTATTAGCATAAGATAATCTTTTGAGCAAATTCATACATATGTAGTACATACATTACACATACGCTGGATTAATATGTATCTTTACAAACTTGTCGTCCTTGCAATTTATTGAGACATAATTGTTGGCACTTCTGGTCTTACCTCAATACTCGCTTTATCACTGCTGGTGCTTTAGTATTTAACTACTGTGTAGAGTTATTAATAAAAAGGGCAATGACTGGTTTACTCAGCTGTCTTCAATTCGCTAAACCTTCGAAAGTTGGGAATCGAATGAACAACTGGTATAAATCAAATGTACCAGCTTCATTCATACAGAGAAAGATAGTATAGACAAATGTCAGATTACTATAATTAAGGACGATATGAAGAAGCAACAGGTATAAATGAAATATACTGGTAAAGGCAAACAGGGATAAAATAGGAAGTAGCTACAACATTCCAATGAGGCATCCATATACACAATTGTATTGCATTTATTTCAATAAGTTAATTATTGCTTTATATGCCAGCCTTTTGACAACTGATCAAAGCTCAAACATTGCGAGCAAAGAAATAACGAATCGACGTTTAGCTATTAATTTAATTTGAAGGAAAAAAGAAAAAGACATTAAAGAAAAAAAACTTATATGTATATATTTTTTCTCTTTCGTTCTAGATTTTACGCTTAAAAACCTTTATACCTAAGTACACATAATGAAGTCACTATTAATCGCACTGGTAAGTTTTACAAATTTTATTTAGCACGCTGTAAAAATATGTTCAAACAGAGTATAATCTTTTCAAATCAAAGTTATGGGTTAGTTTTTGGATGACCGACCAACAAACCGTAGTTGCTAAATCCGAATGCCACAGATAGATTTCGTTTAGATCTTATTTTAATCTGCACGATTGAAATCAAGTGGAGTCCTGGTCAGGTCTTAAAGAAATATTTAACCACAATTAATCACGTTTTAGCACAGGATATCCTTCAACTAGTATTACTCGAAATATCTCTGTGTCTAAAGGCAGTGAGCTCTTTGACTTTATAAAAAAATAGTTAAATTTAGTAATGGACCAAGTACTCAACCCTCCCTCAAATAGATATTTGTATGTTTTCAAAGCTTTTGTTTTTGGGTAGTCAAGCGACAGTTAGAGCCCTTAGAACAATTAGTTCCAATCTCAACAAAGTATTCTTCAAAACTCATCCGTCCCTTCTTGATGAACGACTCTGAATTTGGCAGCTGTAGAACACAATCTAATCCGGAAAGAAAAAAAACAGAACTCGTGATTTATTTATTCACTAGAAAAGTCATCAGGTTTCTAACCAGAGGAACCGGTCTTATTAGACCACGATCTCATAACATCGATACCTGTTGTATCCTTAGTACTGTTAATTTTGTCTTAAAGAATCAATTCTCCTTAATTTTAAGTTTTGAGCCTTTAGTCGCAATTCCCGTCCTATAACGTTCTTTCATGCTGTTTTAATATATTTTAAATAAATCTATTTATATTATATGTATTTGTTAAAGCACTTATCTCACTTCCTTAGGCTGCGATTTGCAGTTGGTGCATAAATTCCGTGCAAGGTCATGGACGTCTCATGGATCCGCCTGCTCGCAATGCAATGTGGCGATTCGGCTTTCCGAATGCCGTAAATTATAATGATAACGAATTGTTTTGCGGTGGATACGCAGTGCAATGGGAGCAGAATTTGGGCAAATGTGGAGTCTGCGGAGATGCGTATCACGTGAAGACGCCACGCCCGCATGAGGCGGGTGGTGAATACGCGAAAGGCATCATATCGCGGTACTATGCAGCCGGACAGGTGAGTGAACAATTCAAGATTTGAATAAGAAGACAAATTTTGCAAGATAATTTAACAACAATAAATTTAAATGATATGATGGTTTGATCCGCCGTATTTCTAGGAAATCGATGTAGAGGTTGAACTCACTGCCAATCACTATGGTCGTTTCGAAATGTTCCTCTGTCCCAACAATAATCCACGACGTGAGGCTTCACAAGCTTGCTTCGACCGTTATCCACTGTATATCTCCGGTAGTCGGGAACATCGCTTCTTGATACCACGTGATACACCCAAAAAGGAGATCTTCCGCTATCGTGTCCGTCTGCCACCGTACGTTACGTGTACGCAATGTGTACTCCAATGGACCTACTATACAGCCAATATGTGGGGTACTTGCTCCAATGGCACTGAGGCAGTGGGCTGTGGCAAGGCGGGTATGTAATAAATAAATCAATATATTATCAAAACTGTATTTCAGATCGCAATAGGATTGTAAATGAATGAAGAAATGGCACAAACTGTACATTATAACCGATTTGAGTGAAATCTTAAAAAAGATTCGACAAAATTAAAAAGATTGAAATCCGTCGCAAACCAAAATCGGACTGAATTGGTCAGGAAACAAAAGTGCTAATTTATATAATCAGCAAACATAAACAAAAATATAACCGAGTTGTTGCGTTCTTTTGCAAATCGGTTACAGTGATTGCGACAGTTTAAATCAAATTCCATGCATTTTTTTCTTTACAGAAACTTTTCGCAACTGCGCCGATATTGCGATTGTCTCCAACACCGGTGGCGGTGTTCCACCAATCTTTGTAAATAACAAATCTCCATATCTGCTCTACTACAGAGATTATCGTGCGCCGGATGATAACAATGTGTTCCCGCTTATTGTGCGGTAAGTCTTATTGTGGGTGTATGTGAGTTCGTATGAGTGTGTGTGTAGTGTGGTGTGTACCATAAAATCGATTTCAAATCATTTTGCTTTAATTTGTATATCTGCTTTGCTTTTCTAGCAACACCACAAGGGCTTAAACTGTGAGCGAAATGAGCCTGCATTTATCATTTGCTTTATTTAGTTGCTTTGTTTGCTTTTTGCTGCTTATTTTTTATTTTAATATTTTTTTAAGACTTCTTGAAAGAAGTTTCTTTGCTTATTTTCCGCCCTTATCGCTTCCTTTATTCAATGAATTTTATTTTTTAAATAAAATATATTTTTGGTTTTGGCATTATTTTTGCAAATAAAAATTAAATATAATTGCGAAAACATTAAATAATTAAGCTTATTCATAAATACTACTAAATATTACAATTTTTAATAAACACAATTGTATAAACACATAAAAACAAATTCAATAGCGTTGTTTTATTTTAGTATTATAAACCTTTGGTGTTGGCATCTAAAGAAAATTAATTTTTAATTTATTCAAAAGAAAATTTTATCATACGAGTATTACATACCAAAATACATATAACACCGTGAGTATGTAAATTTATAAACCATAATATTATAAAGAGAATATAACTTCGCTTTTTGCTTTATTAACATAGAGTAACACTAGGGTTGGTTAACAACAAAGAAAACATAGAGGAAATAGTGGTCCGACAGCGGCAGCTTCTAGGGGAGAAAAGGACGTGTGCAAAATTTTAAATTATTATCTCAAAAACTGTGGGACTAGTTCGCGTATATACAGACAGACAGACGGATATGGCTAAATCGACTCAGCTTGTTACGCTCATCAAATTCTTGGCAAACTTAATATGTATACCCTGTTCAGGGTATAATGAGGGATGTAGCACAGACACTTATTAAAATTTATGTAGGTAGCTCCTGAACTGTGTTGGCTATTCTTTTCACACTAAATAAGAATATTGTATTTTACCATCCGAAACTGAATAATTATAACCACAACCATCTTCCATATAACGGTTATATTGAAAACTAGTAAACGAATATATATAGGAAATAACGATAGGAACTTAGAACTCGGAAAAAATTATATATAACGGGTTTTTACTTATCTTATGAATCAGTTCGAAAAATGTACTATGAGATTTGAGGGGATTCTTATTTCGCTAACCAATGTTTATTATAACCTTTATACTAGCTTGAAACCCATTTTCAAACAGGGGACATAACCACATTTTCAACTTCCTATCTTACTTTACTACACTATTGTAAATATTTATATAAGTACATAATTCTTAATAAAATTAGTTGAGGTTTCCATATAAGATTATGTATAACGAAGATACTTGTATTAAATGTCTTTTCGCGCCTTCAAAGTCCGAAAAATGCTTAGCGTTATCTAGCTTTTCTTAACTAGAATTTTAATCTTACATGCAGCATACAAATTTAACACAACTATGGTTAATTCTCCATGCGAGCTAACAGTCTGCTAACTAACAGCTAAAAACTGTTCATTCTTTCTTAAGACATTTGGTATTTTTTAAATAAATCTAAAATATATCGCTTTAGAAATACAAAATAGGCTGAAAAGTGTTTGGTTCTTAAACAAAAAATAATTTTTTTTCTTCGACTAATCTTCATCTAGAGTAATGTAATTATAATAACGATTCTCCAACAGTTGGATACAGGTACGATAGTATGAAAAAGAAAGAGGAAGTATCGCTTGAGTCACATGTACAGGTTGGTTGAAAAGTTTCTGCGCTCGAAATGAAAAAAATACTGTTTTTCGTACAAAATATATTTTTGATTCAATACAATATCCCTTAACTTCAATACACTTATTCCAATGATCGTCCAATCAGTTTATGCCATCTCTATGATGACTTTCCGGAAGCTCTGCAAAATACCGTTCTACGGCTGTAATAGCTTCTTCATTCGACGAAAAACACTTTCCATGAAGGAATTGTTTTAGGTTTCTGAAGAGGCAGTAGTAGCTGGGAGTCAAATCTGAATGCTCAAGCAATTCGTACTTTAATTCGTTGAATTTTATTATTGTTGTAACACCTTTGTGAGCAAGTGCATTGTCTTGATGAAAAATGATTTTTGTACTGCAAACCAGTTGATCCAAAAGGCTGCAAAAATATTCTGAGTTGATTGTTTAACCTTTCTGCAGATAATCAATCAACAAAATTCCTTTTGCATCCCAAAAACTTGATGTCATAACCTTCACCTGCTTTGGAGCTGAACAACCAGCTTCAGTCCACTGTAAACTTGCTTGTTTCAATTTAGGATCATGGTGGTAGATACAAGTCTCAACCATAGTTATAAAACGACGCAAGATATCGGTTTTATTCTGCTTAAAACGCTCCGATTTATGCAGAGAAACTTGTTTTCGATCCAGTTTTTGTTGAATTGTTAACGTGTGCGGCAATAACTTTCCAAACAGCTTTTTCATACGTAATTCTCCATGTAAAATATGAAGTACTCGTTCGTCTGAGATGTCGTTGGTATTAGAAATTTCACGCTTAGTCAAACTTGGATCTTCACTAACAATATTATGAACTCGTTCAATGATTTCTGTTGTGGTTACAATTTTTGGTCGTCCTTCGAGTGGACCGTCTTTAAGCCTAATACTAATTTCTTGGCGAGAGCAAAAACTGTTCAACCAACCTGTGGTAAATACAATGGGTGGAGGCCTGGTTCATATCGTAATTGCTTTCGTTATCGGTCTCGACTAAATATTTCCTACAATGCCTTATTGCATTTCATTGTAAATCTTTTCATTTTCTAACACGAAGCAAACATATTATTAATGTTTATAAATCTTTATTGTATTTCCAGATATTATACATTTAACATTAAAAAATTTAAGAAGTATACTAACAAGTAGTAATCATAGGTATATTATATTTTTATACTCTTGCAACATGTTACTACAGCTGAATTCCGAGTGACTGTCTGTACGTCCGTCCGTCCGTGCAAGCTATAACTTAAGTAAAAATTTAGATATCTTGATGAAACTTGGTGTCTCGGTGTTTCTTGGTATCGAAAAGTGGGTTAGTAATTCAGATGTGTGGCCACAAATCGCCATTAATCGAAAATCTATAAAGTGTCATTACTAAGCTCCACAATAAGATACAAACAAGGCGTTTATTTAGTACAACGAATTGCATTAGTAAGGGGCATCTATGGTTGAACAAAATTTTTAAAAGTGGGCATGTCCCCGTCCTCTAATTATGTTAATTTACCTATCTCCTAAACCAATCAAGCTGCATTAACTGAATTTTCCCAGGGCAAATCTTTTTAGCATCCCTAACTATCCTGTGAAAATGGCGGAATTCAGATTATAACTCCACCCACTCCCCATATAACAGTTTTGTTAAGAACTACAAGAATAGCGATAAGTCAATAAGTAAATGCGCCAGAGACATAAAACTTTACCCCCGAGATGACATAAAAGCACCGCCCACATTTAGGTGAAATCACATACTGATTTATTATATCGGGACCTACTCGACCGGTAATATTATCCTGACATTCTGACAGTACAGTGCGCGCCTGCTTCCCATATAACACAATCTTATATTCTTTTACCAGTTAATCTTACGAACTGTTTATCAAAAATATCGGTCAATTTTTTAGATATATAATAGAAATTCGGAGAGAATCCTTTTCTGATAAGAGTGTTTTCTGATAAGTGTATCAAAAATGGGTTGAATCAGCTTAATAATTCTCTTAGAAAGATTTTCCAACTTCCGTCTGACTTTATACCGCATATATCGACAAATATGTGAGTTGTCTTAATAAAATTAAGAGAGCATGTTTTTCAAATAACGGTGCATCTTTCTGTCTAAAATGGATAAAATCGGTTGAAAACTTGCTCTACAAGTAGATTTAATTTTCTAACATCTAATTGACTTTACTCCTCATATATATATTGCTGATGGTATGTTAGGTACCTTAATGATACCGAAAGAGCATCTTTTTCTGTTAAAAATAAGCAGTAATCCAAAGAATGCATAAAGTCTGGTCAATACTACCCCTATTTCCCATATACCTAATATAAGGTTTTCAAATTTCCGATTGCCTTTATACCGTATATATTGGTCAATATGTAAGATATCATAGCAAGATTAACTTAATGTATAATACTCGTATTGGATATATGTACTATAGTTAAATTCCGAAAATATGTGAAATTAGTCCACAAATTACCCAAACTCAAAATCCACTAAAATATGTGGATTACCCAAACTCCCATATACTATATATAATAATTTTTGTTGTTTCAAAAGGCCTTACGCCGGTATGTCAGTAAGTTGATTAGTTAAAGATTCAGATCCTCCCAGCTGAAAAGGTTGGCAACATACCTTAATTTCAGCAAATGTATACTTTGAATAAGCAAACATAAATTAGTAACGGCAATCAGCCCAGACCTTTTCAACCCCCAATATACCCTATATAATGGTTTCCGACTTCTCATATGTTTTTAAACCATTTTGGTTGGATATAATGTGTGATATGCTAGTGAAATTAAATGGAAAAGCTTTTTTAAAAATGATGTGGTTTAACGTTTAGTACGAATGGAAATGGTTTAGACCTTGGTCAAAACCTCATATCCGCAATGTTATGAATTCCGATCTATTGGTTGACCTTTTTCACATCAACTCAATATATTAAATTTAGCCGTAAAGTAAAATATTGCAATAAAACTCAGCGAGTCTATGGCCTATAATATAACTTAGTAAGACACAAATTTGATTGTAATCCATTCACGATTTCGTAACATTTTTAAAATTAAAGTTTTGCCAATACCTGAAGATATTTCTCCAGCTTTGATCCTGGCAAGTTGCCAGAGTATCAAATGTTCAGTTACACTCGAACTCAGCTCTTCCTAACTTGTTAAGTCATGATTTCAAATCTCCAGTAACCAACAAATAACTATTCCGAAAATAATATGTTTCGCACTTGTTTGTGTTGTTCATATTATATAATATTATTTATTGTTTATTGAATTCATTTATGGGTAATAGTTTACTGAAGCCTAAATTTATGCAATGACCAGTTGCTTTTATGGCGACATCTGTCAGTTAAGTTGGCTAATGAATGAGATGTGTTGAGGACTTGGCTAAAAGTGTTGACAGGAAATGCTTATAATATTAATGCATATAGACACGATAGGCCAATAATCTAAAATTAGGGTGGTTAAAAATACGTTAGTAAGAAGAGTTCTTGATACGACATGAAACTTTATGCAATATTTTTTATTATTTTACATGACCTAACAAAACCAAGATTCTCTACTCCAAATATAAGTCCACACGTTCCAGTGATCGCTTAAACATTTCATAGTCTGCTCAATTCCCAGTCAAATATGAGAGCAAACTTATAATAAATATTTTAACCACAAACACAATTCGCTCCTTGAATAAAACACCATTATTGTTTTTTTTTTTTTTTGTATTAAAAGAACTCATTACATTTTACTGCGCAAATTTCGAAAATTCATTAAAATATTTAGACAAATGGTGTAATACACCCGAAAATCTTTGTAAAAGAAATTACAGAAATTAAAATCTTTCTCCAAAGCAGACTACAAAGAATTTTCCACTTCTGCAATTTCCTCTCCAATCAGAATTTTGAACTACATACATCTTTGCCGAGCAAAATTATTTCGAAATACATATAAAAATTCGAACGAACGAGCGAAAAAATTACTAAGCAATACAATCAAAGAATTCACTGGTACTACGAGAAGGAGAAAAACAGAGAAAGCGAATAAGTGCGCTTAATTATTAGAGCCAATTGACCCCCAGCAATTCAACATCTGACATCCGGATATGTAATGGCCATGATTAGTAGGAGAAATACAGATATTTGTACGCTGCCCACGAGTATGGTTTTGAAGATGTTACTCTTCGGATCCCGGTTGTTCTCCGGCAACAGTGGAGTATGATGACGACGTATGCGTCGACGTTTACGTCCTCGTACCGGCGCTTCACACACACATATGCGTATGCGTGAGGTGTTCACCGCTCTTTCCTCTAAATTCGTGGAAATTTCTGCCTCCACCAGTGACCTTGCCGGTTGTTGTTGCCCATTGTAGAGCGCATCATTTAACGTACACTGTATCTCTTCGATCTTCAATGGCTCCTTCTCATACTTGTAAGGTACACGCGCACTACGTGCGCTGTCGCCAGCATCCTTGGATGGTGTCTTCTGCACTGTCTCTGCAGTGCGCAAATCTTTTTGTAGTGACATAGAGCTTTCCAAACTTCCTATGACACAAGGAGAATAGAGAAAACTATTGAAAAAGCAGGGGTCCTGTTCCAGCACATTGAACGGCACCAGTGTACTTTTCGGTTTTAAGTAACGCATCAGCAAATCGGGGTTCTCTTTAAGACGCTTAAACGAAGTGCGCTTCAGTTCGGTGTTGTCTTTGTTGGAGGGTAGATAAAAATGATGACTAGCTTGCTCTTTCAGTTCCACAATAGTCTTGTGCTCCATGCGAAACTCCTGCACAATGCCGATGCAACGGCGCACACCCATGGAGAGGAACTCATTGCAGGCATATTGGAAATTATCGTGGTGACTGACATGCCACTTCGTCTCGAGCGTTGTGGCAAGTTTATTCAGTTCCTTTAGCTTAATATCACTATGAGAGACGGTGCGTTTCAGTGTTGCTTCTAACTTCTCGCCTAATGCCTTTAAGATGATGATCTCTTTCTCAAGTGTGGGCACATTCTTAAAGATCACATCCACCTGTTGCTTTTTGGGTTCCACACTCAGCGGTATAACTGGCTTGTGAATGGCTACAGTCGTTGGTGAATTCACCAAAGGGTGTTCGTTTAGATTATGCAACGCCGACTTCACAACCGTCTCCTGACGTATGATCTCTTTCAACTGTGTTTTGAGTATCTCTTTGAAAAGTATAGAGTCGTTTGGCTGCAGTTGACGATGCCGCTCATCCGTTTTCACCACATTCTTTATCATGGCTATCTCATCGGGTGCCATATTCTTCTTTCTACTGTCCAGTAGGCAACGGAAATTCGACGAAATTGTCGCGCTCATATTCAATGAGTCTGTTGTGGGCACTGCCATCAGGGGCGCAATAACAAAATCATCCAAAGAATCCTGAGACTCTATTTGCTTCTCCATCTCGGAGTCTTCGAACTCATAATCGGTGTTGAGCTGATCATTCAGTAAACAACTAACCTTCTCCGTACGCGCAGACACCTGCTTCAGTGAGCATTCCTCCGAAGAAGTCTTCGAATTGCAAATACTGCGAGCTGTTAGTATCTCTTTGACACGCTTGCAATTGAAAGCATTCTCATCCAAGTCTAATTCATGTAAATACGTTGCTTTGCTCTTGATTCTTCTGACAGATTTCTTCTCCGTTACGCGCTTGTTGAGGTTTGTATTCGGCGTTAAGGGTTTTTTATTCGTACGTTGCGACGCCGTGCGTTGGTGTTGTTGTAGACGTTGTGTACTCTTCGCTGTCGGTATTAGCGTTCGGCTTTTGGATCCCAACAAGAAATTTCCCTCATTACTAGCGCTCTTCTTGACGCGACTCAAACGATCCCAGACGGTTTCCTTGTTGGTCAGTCCTGGTGACCGCTCTGAGAGCGAATGAAAGGTTACTGCAGTCACTTGAAATCAGTACTAAGTTCGGGTGGTGGAAATCGTTGGTAACAAACTTGCTTACTCACCTTTATTAAGACTCTTTAACTTTCGCCGCAAATCCTTGTTCTCATTTTCCTTTTCCATTTTGATCAATTGGCTAGGCTTGGCTTTATTTACCACGTTCGGCATTGTCCATTCGTTTTGATACTCCGTCGTCTGTTTTTTTTTTTAACAAAAAAAAGGTTACTATTATTTTGTTTAAACGAGCTGAATTGTTTTTATATTTTTTCAATTAATTGATCTAATATTTTTAAAAATTTTTCTCTCTTATTTTTTGATTTCACATTCACAATTTTTTCAATCATGAGCACTTTTCTGATGTCTACTTTCTGAAAACACATTTTTTAAAATTTTTGAACATATTTTGGTTTTGATAATGGAAAATGTTAAAAATTCATCAAATCCCTAGGCATATGACGGAAATAACGGAACAAAAGTGGTTGCGTATTACCGGTGTTGAATATAACTTGTTGTTTTCTGCGCGTGCAAACATCGTTTAATTGGACTCAGAATTTTAGAGCGGTCAATTTGGAACAATTGAAAAAACTATTAACAAAAACAATAAATATATATAATAATAAATTTGAAAAAAATTAATGCCGTAGACATTCTCAAAAAGAAAAGAAAGGAAAATATTTTTGTTTTGAATCGTTGTAATTAGAGTTGCCACTTACAAGAATTCAATTAATTTAGAAGCTTCGTGTAAAATAATGGCTTCTTCTCATAGAGCATATGTGCTGTGCTATTCGGGCATACCGAGGCAACTTAACTTAACTTCATACTTGTACATATATATAATTCTAGGGGAAAAAAATCTAGAAATCAGTTGGTTGACTGCTATTATTTTTGGATGCTTTTCTTTCTGGAAACCACGTACTTCGACATTTTGACTCACAACTCTTGTCTTTTAAAAATTTAAGCTAAGTAAATACTTTTTTTGGTGCAAGAAAACAAATTTCCAGTTTTCTCAACTATTATTCTAGAGCTAAGTTGTATTTTTATGAAATAAAAACGTACTGGTGAAGGAGCAATCTGACTGAAATTTTGTCTATAAAAACAGCCGCTGGATTCAGAAGCAGTCCGACGGTATTTCGATATCTTCCGGTAAGGATCATCAACATTTATTTTAGTGATAATATGCCTAGTCGGGAATAATTTTTTTTTCAAAAGTCGTATGGTAATAATAGCGTAGAGGTCGTTGAAACTTCTCTTTTAATATAACACTGACACCTAACTTGACCTTCTAAGTCTAAAAGGCGCGATAAATCTTATTCTCATAAGACTTAACTCTTCTACTGGCTCGTTATCGACACACCCCTTTTGATAGTTCCTATTTACACTATCGATAAATTATTAGTTGTTCCATTAATTTCACACCAAGTTAAACACTATTTAGAATCCGCATATTATAACGCCAAAAGCCGCTGACACTTGGAGGGTGACGTAACGAAGAAACAACTGGTATAAATCAAATAAGCTAACAAAATTAAATGGAGTTAAAATGAGAGAGCTAAATGCTTCCATTAAATAACTTTCATTCTGCTTGTTCATGTACTTATATATCACATCTCATTTGTAGCAGTTAGCTTTTAATAAATTCCTGTGAGATATTACTTATACAATATTTTTTCTACTTTTTCTCTTTGCAGTGATCAGAAATGTATTGCCGCGCCAGCATTCCGCACCATTCCCGGTATGGATAATTGGTGTGAGACGAACTGTTTGCGTTATCCACCGAACTGTCCGGAATCGGCATGTCATTGTCCGTAAGTGGAAAAAAGATTTACTACATTATTTAATTAATTTTAACTAACATATTTCAAACTTTATACTGAACTTAGTTTCTGTAATTTAGTAATCTACATTTATTTAATAAGATATGGGATTTATATTTTTAAAATTTTTTATTTATTTTTTTTTATTTGATTGATCCTTATTTTATTTATTTTTGAAAGTTTTATCGCAAAAATACGGTTTATTTTTCTTTTTTTTTCTTTTTTGACTTGAACCTGCTTTACAAAAATTTATATAAATTACTTTTTAACTCTTAATTTAAATCTAATCTTATAATATTTGTTGTTAACTACTCTATTCTCCACAATGTTTTTTATTTTGACGTCGCAACATTTTCTACCGCATATTCCATTTTTAACTTTTCAAATAAATGTTCAAATTAGGATCGGGATATTTCTCTCTTTCTTTACCAGCATTAGCTTGAGCAAAATTTGGAAATCATAACCAAATTTGTAGCAGCCAGTCGAAGCATGGTTATCTCAATCAATAATTAAGTATTAAATTTCTGTGTCAAATTTGATATGGAGGGTTTTGACCACGCCTATCACTCATAATTTTGATACAACTTTCTACAGGATAATACCAGAAATCTAAAAATGAACTGTAAGGATCAAATTTTTATGAGAAACAAAATATTTATAAAAGACGTAGCATGTTCCATTTTTAAGATAAATTTCATAGCCCATAAATTTCATAGTCCCTGAACTCTTTAAACCTAATGTGAGGTTCACCATCTTAATGATGTTAGGTGTAAATAATTCGCATAATATGCATTTATTTGGTTCCAAATATGGAAGAAATCGGTACATACCTCCATAACCGACTATGAAAATTTCCATCCTATATTCTCGTTCACTATCTTAGCTTACTCAATAAAATCACATGAGAATTTCGCACTTAGAGTAACATCATTTGGCAAGAAAAAGGATGAATTCAATCTATATCTTGCCCAAGTCTCCACATAACAAGTTCCCTGAATTCTGCGAGATAACTTAATGAATTAAAGTCTGCACATGTTGCCTTCAACATATACTATGGTTGAACCGTTTTTGGGTACTTTATATAGTACTTTACTAACTGTTTATATAATATATTATGATTTTTTGAATATACAAAAAAAAAAAAATTTGTAAACCATTATAATTACAGTAAGGATTGCGTGGCGATTGGTGAACTAGAGGGACGCGAGGGTGCGGACACGTATTGTATGGATGAATGTCTGAATCACGGTTCTGTGTGTCCAGTCGATAGATGCCGTTGCTTCTAAAACGACATAAAGTTTTTCGAACACTGTCTGCAAGAGTATCGCTTGGACTTTTGGTGTGCTCTTCAACGAACAAAGATCATAAGCGCTCAAACTTGTGAAGAATGGATTAAAGCTGTGCTACAAATTCTGTGCCTTTTTAAAAATATCTATGTATGTACGAAGTAATAAAATGTTTTTGGTAAAAACTGCGAAACTTTTTATTCCATTAAAGATCTTTGAATATATATAAGTTAATTTTCTTAAGAATTTTTGAATTTACCGTGAATTTTAGAGAAGAATGTAGTTCCATCAGCGGCTAAAATTTACTACTTTTTCTTATACCCGATTCTTCGAGGGTTTTTCGTAACACTTTTCCGAGCACGAGTTTCTTAAATAGTTGTTAATTATCACAAAGCTGAATCAAATCAAAATCTTAAGTATAAGTCTGTAAAATCGTCTATACTCTCCCAAAACTTACTCCATTTAATTTGGTTTTTACTTACATTTCCAGTAGCCTCGATAAAATAAATACCTATATATAATTTTTTAATTGTTTTTGTTATATCTTTTATTACGACCTAAAATTTTTAATGAACTGTGTGCTGCGGTACAATGGAAGCCAATTGGACTGAGTCTATTTGGAATGAACGACGACGGCATGTCTAGCTGAACACTTGTTGAGAAAATAGCACTAAATTCAAATGCACTAACATTGTAACTTAGCATGATAAACCAGGAATGAGGACATGTGCCAAACTGCGAAAGACCAGAAGTTTCATTTAGAAAGGAAAAAATTAAGTTTTACGCCATCGAAACATAGTGAACGCACGCTTTTTTCCAGCGTAACAATACTTGTATATATGTATATATGTATGTATGTGCACGAAAATATGTGGAACGCGACGTTCGAAGTTCAACTACTCGGCGCTGCGATGTTCGAAAATGCTACGGAGCTCCTCAACACTAAGCTCTACAGCCTTCTTGCCGGCGTCGCGTAAAAACGGTTCCAATATTTTCACATATGTCTGCACTTTGCGACGTTCGTCTGCTGCATTGCTAGCCTCGTCACATAATGAATTACCTGCCGTAAGTGTACTGGGGTCCGTCAGCGGTTGCGACTCCAATGGATCGAGCGATTCAACGCTTAATAGTACTTCACCGGGTAGAAGCTCGGCTTCGGAATTCGGTGGCGAAGCTTTGTTACGCAACTGGCTAAGCGGTAAATCGGTGTCATTCGATATTGCGCGCAACGAATATTCCTCCGAACCGGTTTCGCTGTTATCACGTAATGGCGGTGGCGCATTACGTCTTAAGAAAGTATCGAAACGATGACGCACTAGTAGCGCTAGTTTGTGCCAACGTTGTCTCGCACGTATACGTCGATCCTCATCATTTTTGGGCGACAAGTCCGACATTTTGGAATTATCAAGCGCACGAATTGTATGCATATCTTCAAAGGTCTTAGTATGGCGCGATGTGTTGTTAAATGCCATCGATGGCATTTCTAGGCCGCCAGCATCACGTGTGTACTTGCATTGCAATGTCTCATGTTCCGTAAGTTTGCCAAATTCGATCAAGGATTTACCTTCAGTGGCCTTACGGTGGCCATCTTTTTTAAGTTTTCTTGATAGATTGCGACTGGAACACGAATTACCGAATTGAAGGCGATTCTTGAGTTTATCTTTCAACTCCTTAAGTTCTTGCTCCGCGCTGATCAAGGTCTTAGTATTTGATTTACGTTGAGTTGTTGAGATTTTTTGTATATTCATACGTGAACGATCGTTACCGTAACTGATGCGTTTATCCGAACGCGCTTTACGTTCCAATTCTAAGCGCGATGATATACTGCCGACGGCGGCACCCGATGCCACAGCATCGAGACGCGACGAACAACGATCAACCAACGCATTCATTTTCGAATACTCTTTGCCAAGCTCTTTGGCCTTCACCAAGTTCTCGACGCGTATCTCCTCGTTCGTACGCAGGCGATCTATGGGAGCCACACGTCGTCGTTTCCATTGCGACGATGACTCTTTGATCTCTTCGATTTCGCGAAACAGACGCTTCAGGCGCACTTGTCGCATTTTCATTTCAATCGTGCGGTCGTTGAAATCTTTGATGCGCTCGTATTCCTCCTTTAAGCGCTGCAATTGGCCATTCTTTTTACTTGTACTAACCATCCGTCGAAAAAATGGTGTCGATTTTATTTGATACGACATTTTAGCGTTGCCTAACTGTTAATGTTAATCGTGTAAGTGTTTACGCCTTTCTTTATCGCAACTTTCTTCGTTCTCTTTTAACAGCTTGCTCGTTTGTTTCGTAAATAAAAAATTTCTTAATTCCGATTTGCAAAATTTTACATACACAATAAATTTAGTTGACACTCATGAATTTTGGGCCGCTTCGGTTAGATTCGGTCGCTTCGTGTGGTAAAGTCTCGGTTTACGCTAAATTTGTACACCAGGCACTTTTTATTGTTCTTTTCTGATTTGAAAAATATTCGTCTTCTTTTCAAAATGATAATAAAAAATATTAAAATTGAAATACCACCATAATGTCAAGGAAACAATATACAATGTGGGATAAAGTTGATGACTAACAACAAGTATTTTTCCCTTAAATGAGTGCTACGAAAGTGACAACATTGAGCCTTTGAGTGATACTTGAGAAGAAGGAGAGCTTACACTTATCCACTACCCCTTATATAACAAAGTCCACGTAAGATTATTTTGGCATAGGAATATAATAAGAACCATAGTAGAGGTGCTAACAGATCTGTCATTGTCTTATTGGAAAATACGCCAGCAAACAGGGTGTATCATCAGTACTTCGGTCGCGCTTCCTTGATGATGTCTCGTAAATTGCACATATTAAACTTTTCGAATTGATGAACTTCATCAAGATTACAGGGTGTTTCAGAAAAGACACGGTAGTGTGAGGGAATTTTAATGCCGGTGGTTTCACAATGGGCCTCCTAAAGCCTTAGGTGCGTTGTTAGAATCCAGGTAGTATGGAGCTACCACCCTGATCTAATCAAAAGATATTGATGACTTCTACTTCGTTGGTGTCACCTTACCGGTTATCTAAGATCATCCACGAATTTATTAAATAAATCCTATTCGGTAAATGTATTATACAACTACCGGTTAACATTTTCTCCGAAGATATTTAAGAACATTGATAACATGGCATCTGTAAAGTATCGTTCCATCTTCTTTTGTTTTTGACTGTGCTTTTATGTAAATCCCTCAGAATTTATTTTCTCCAGTTGCCCAAATTGAAGTCTAAAAATCTCGCAAAAATTAACCCAGTTTGTGTGGCTTGAAATTATTGTAAGTATTATTTTACTTTTTCGCGTGCATTAAGCTCTCTATACCAATGCTGATTCACTGCGAATGCGAAAGATATTGCATAAAGACATGGAAGCACATAGAGTTCACTAGGTCATCCGAAGAGTTAGAGCTACATAAAGGACGTATTCCGCGAGCCTCCCTTGATGCTAGGCGGGTGATTGCGGCTGATAATGGAAGTATATCCGATCCTCTAGGCCAAACGAAGCGTTTGAATTTGGGGATGCACTTTTCTTTTTCCAAACTCCGGGTAAGAACTAGCGATTGCTCAACGATCAGGTGAGCTCGCTAGGGCAAGAGACTCTTATCCGTTTCCAATTCGGCAATAATGAGACTGTAATTTGGAGTGCACAGCTACTGAGCTCACTGCCGTAACATCGGGATAAATGGTAAACTCTCCGGAAAATATTGCACTTAAAAAATGTAGATCTGGGGCTTATTAAGTGGCAGCTATTTTGACCCTATATTAAAGATCATGAATTAATCGCGCTATTTTTGATTGTTTTCATGGTGGACACAGTTCTTACTTATGTATGTGACCGTCCTTGTAAACCTCATCATAAAAATGCTAGACTGATATAATTAAATAGCGAAATGAACAATTCACATCTATATTCCCATTTGCCTAAATTCTACTATTAATATAAAATTTATGCCAGTTTATGTTTTGATTCTACAGGACAATTTCATCATTGTAAAGGTTCATAGTCGTGGAAAGTTTTATAACTTAAATATTGCTTTGCAAAAAAAAAATGCCAATAATGTAATATTCCCTTAATTCTTGCTGCAACTTGACCTTCATCACCTCCATCTTCTATATAACGGTATTATTTTATTCCTATGAAGGGTATATAAAGCTTGTCACGAATTTTGTAACACCCAGCAGGAATCTTCGGATACCTTATAAAGTAAATACCAAATACATGTATATATTATATATATGAAGCAGATATATTTATTTTGAGATAAATAAGCTGCTCATTTGTCGGAATCGCCGCTATCGGATCTCGATAGGGCGTAGCTGCCCTACAAACTCACAGAACAAAGTCAAGTTCTTGTATGGATAACTGTTCATAGATTATTGTCCAAAGCAGCTTTACAATCTCCGAACATTACTCAATTCCTGAACGAGTTACACCGGGAAAGGTGGCCATGTCCAAGTCCACATTTGCGACTGCTATTGTCAGTTTCAGCAGCCTTTTCTGTTTTATAATTAATAATTTAAGTAATAGGTAATAGCGCAACTTTTTCTCGAAAATTGGCGAAATCGGTCTAGATCGGTTCTTTAATTTTATACCGTATTAATAAGTATATCAGTCACTTAGCATAATACGATTTGATATTCCATATTCACTAATTCTATCCACCATACACCGAATAAACTAATTTTATACTGTACCGTGGACTTCAAAAGATTCTAACAGGGATCTCACTTGGACAGCTTATAACGCCGGTCCGTTGTGATACCTAGAAGTCCTACGATTGCAGAGAGATAAATTTTGGTAAGTGCAAGAGTTCAGCAAATCTACTATATTCTACTCTAGGTCAGTAGGCTGCCGTCGCGGAAAGGCCGGTCGTGTTAAGCACATGCGAGGCCCATAGGGCCACTGCTAGAACGCAAGATGACAAAAAAAATTATGCTCGTTTCCATTGCGATTTTGCTAGCTCATCGGCTTTGCAGTTTCCAGCGATTCCGCTATGACCAGGCGAACCAAACGAACCTGACAATGAAGTAGCTTGATGCAATAGTGCTAGTGATGATTTACTAACTTTGAGTACAGTTTGCCAACTCAAAGAAAGTATTGCCGCTCTGATGTCGGATTTAATGCTCACCTCCCGGAAAAAAGCTGTACTTCGGAGCAATAAGTCTACTGTTATCTTATTAGCAGACACTCCTGCCTGAAAAACCCTGCAGTAGATCGCAAGCTTAAAGCTAAGCATGACGAAGAGCTCCTTACATAATCGCAGCAATGCACCTGCCGGCAATATCCACGGATTGGTGTAGTCTGTAGGGCACCGCACATGTCGATGAGGGCCTGTCTTTAGAGAGTGTGGTACTGTGTGCAGTTTTTAAATGTTCTTTTTTTTTTTAATTTTTAGGTGTTGTTTCCAAGCGAGCGATTGTATGAGAGAATCTGGATAACAAACGAATAAAGGGTACCATTAAGGTGAAAACTAAGGTGAAAGTGTTAATGGAGTTAATAAAAATTAGCCGCTCTTAAATCCACAACTTCTTAAATTGTAAATTCGAACCAAATATATTCAAACTCACCACTCCTAAACTCAACATAATTGAAATTTTTATACTTAAATTTACCAACTTAACTTAGCTACATTAAAGACGCTCCACCTCACCACTCCTATATTCACCACATCTAACCTACTAAATAAGAAATAAGATACGGCTATACAAATCAACATAATATTCCAAGATGGCATATTTTATCCGATCCAATTGTTATAAGTATACAATAAAAACGAAATATATTTATTTTGGTTACATAAAATATATTCTTTATAAATTGATTGGCGTATGCTCATTTGAGTTTACGAGTATGTAGATATACATACATAAAATGTATATGAATGTATGTATATGTGTTGGTAGGTGCTTTATGTAATGTAACATTGCATGATAAATCCATAAACGAGCTGCACACATGCGCATTGAGGTTAACTGTAATTGACACTTCTTTCCATAAATGTTTATAAGTATGTGTACATGTGCACATATATGTGCTTACATACATATACAGAGAGGCTACAAAACTTGTTGATGCTCCAACTATTTGCCAACTCCTTAAATTTTATGATTTATTTTACATTTTAGTAATGTAACCTTTTGAAAATGTAAAACAACAACAATAAAACTAACAAATAAGTGTAAAAAAGAAAATGCAAGTAAGTGTGTGTTTGTTGTTTGTTTAGTTTAATTTAACAGTATAATACATGCAAAATATTTGTTTAATATATATGTATATGTATAGGTAAGCTTAGATTTAATTAACATTACGCAAGTAACACTGTGTGTGTATATGTATGTGTGTAAGTTTTAAAAATAGTTTTGCTTAGTAATTTATATTTCATTTCTTTGTAACAAAAAAAAAAATCAAATAATAATAATATGAAGGCAGGCCTTTTAAAGTGAAAACGCTGAGATTTCAGGCTAGGAATGAATACAAAAACAAAATTTGAAAATAATTCATCATCTCATTTATAATTTAATTAAAGCCAATGAATGTTTTAAAAAAAAATTAAAAGTTAAATAAATATTACGAGCATGGAACTCTTTTCTTGGCTGCACGAGCATATAGACGTTTCTCTATCGAGGGGTTCATTGTAATTTTTAGACTCGCTGCTTGCTCAGAGCTTGGAATTTGTTTGAAACTAGCGTTTTAGCGCAAGGAAAACAGTTTTTTTGAAAATAATTTTGTCATAGTATTATCACAAGGCGGCTGTAAGTCGTACGCTTAATTGAACGGCTGGAAACTCGTCTCAGTCTGGGTTTAAAAAAGAAATTTCTTCTTCTTTTTCTTCAATTTCTGTTTATCCATATTTAGTTCGGATTCATCAGCATCCTGTAAATAAATTTTTTTTTTAATATAACTGGTGTGAAGCTATAGAGTATTTTATTTAACAAACCTTGTCCGCATCAATTTTCTTGCTTTTGCTCAGCTTTTTCGACTCCTTCAGCTTCTTCTTTTCTTTTTTGGAAAGTTTGGCTGTGATTTTCCGTGAATCGGTGTCTTCTTCACGCTGCGCGGTATGCAGTTCTAAGCGTTGTTTAATGCTCTATAAGAGAGATTATAAAATTCGTAAATTAATATCTTTACGTATAAATACATTATAGTAGCTCTGTACATTAGGGTAGTATAAAATGCTGAAGAAATTATTAAATAAGAATTTAAAAATTTTGCAATTGTAAACACCGTTTTAAATTTTTTAACTAGAGACAAGGTTTATAAACGATAATAAATTATAATTAAAAAGGTTGCCATATTTATTAAATTAAACATTTTTAAATGAACATATATATATTTTTTTAAGCTATATAAGGAAATTATTTTAAACACAACACAAAAAGTATTTGCAGAGTTGCCACCTATTTAAAAAACAGTTGGAGAAAAAATTAAAGAAAAATGAGTTCAAATACAAATTTTAACGGAATTGCCACCCTTATTATTTTTTTGTTTGTTTACTCTTCTTTTTACATTTTTTTAGAATGAAACGAGAAGAAAGGAAACGGCACAACATCTAAGTAATATAAAATTGATAGTTTAGAATAATGCAAATTACGTTAAATACACTGAATATAAAATCGCTGAACGCAATTAGTTACAAAACTTACCAAATCTTCCTCGGCTTCGCGCAGTCGATCCATTTCCAGACATTCCACGACCTCATTACGCAGCTGAACCACCTCGACCAAGCGTGCTATGAGCGTTTCTTCACGCGCTTTATCCGAGTCGGTTTTATTGCGTTCCGGTTGTGCCATCAGCACGCGTATTTCATACTCCAAATCGGCTTGCTCCTGTTCCAAGCGATGTTGGCGGCGTCTGTGTAGAGGGAAAGATAAAAAAGAGGCTTAGTTAAAACTTTCCTCAAGTATATGTAATTCACAAATAGTGTTCTATGCAGTTTATTGATTTCTATGTAATTTTCTATTTAAAGGAAAAAGTGCTTAAGTTGACTTAAGTAAAAATGAGGTTATGAATTTTTTTTTATTATTAATATGCAGAGTACTATTCGTGGTTTTAGGGTGCCGGAGGATATAATAAATTGTACGCCAATCATAATTGCATAATTACCTTTAAATTAAGAGTTAGTGGATACCAAAATGTACAGTTAGGTATTTTAGAAGTCAGTTTCAGAATCAAATTAGCCGAGTGCTCGTTTTCGCGATCCCTTAAGTCATGTATAAAAATAATTTCAGATCACGCTTTTATATAATTTAAGGGTGTTCTTGGTCCAGATGTAAAACTTTGCAATCATCGCGTTCAAAAAAATTTGGTAGCCATCATCATCATCGTATAAAGGTATGAGATTTAGTTATTTTTTCTTTTCAGTATCGAAAATTAAATTGTACCGAAATGTTATCATTCTAGTTAAACTCCAGTTAATATGATTGGAAGAAAATGCAGTAATTGTCGATTTACTGATTTATATTCAAATTGAAAAATGTAACTAATGTTTTGGATAAACTGAAACTTATGAACTTTCTGTAGTACCGATAATTAAACTGTACCGAATATGTTTATCGATTAAGCTTTGAAATATAGCACTTTTGAGAAAATGTTCTATAAATCAGACTTAAACACTTTTTCCTTACCACGACCGTTAACCAAATTGTACCGAAAACTTTTAACGAAATTTTACCAGCATTCCGATTGGTTTGCATATTTAACTTTTTTGATTGCTTGAGCGTTTGCATGACTTTTTGAACAAGTGAACTATTGTACTATTAATAAAAATTAATTAAGCGATTAATTAGCATACGATATAATAATTAAATTTGACTTAATACTTACAGGTACATGAGTTCGGCTTGTCGACGAAACAGTTCGTTCTTCTCGTTGACCAGCTCAAACAACTGCAGTATAAGATCTTCGACCTCCTTTGAGTTCTGCACACTCTCCGCGCCACTTGTGCTTGGCTTCTTGCCGTCGGGTGCATCCACCACTGTGGCGTTTGCGCCCAAGAGTTCACCATTCTGACCCTCACAGCGATCGCGTATCATTTTCTCCAAAATAACACCCTGCTTCTCGAGCCCCTGTTGCTGTACTTCAATGATGTCCAATTCGTGACGTATCTCTTGCAGCGGCAACATTTGCAGCACCTTACGCGGCGGTATGGGCAACGCAGGCGCTGGACCTTTGCGACGTTTCCATTTGCCATGCGCCGATTTGTTGTATGGCGTCGCGGTGATGTCACAGTCCTCCGCGCCTGATGAAGCCGAAATTTGTGATTGGCGATTGCGATTTTGTGCCTCTTTGTTATCCTTCATTTTCTCCAATTGGCGATCGTGTAGGCCGTTATCGAGCAGTGGATTTGTCTCGCGTGTCGGTGTCTCCAGGCTGGGCGGCACAATGACACGCCGATACACGACATTGTTCTCCTCTTGCTCGCTATAACGCAATAGTTGTTGCTTCTGTTTCGCATCATCACACTTGCCGCTGCCGTCGCCTTCCGCGTTGGCGTCCGCATTCAAGTGTTCATTCTCATCCAGCAATAGGCTCGCGTCGAGCGGTATGAGACGACGTGAGCTGCGCCGACTCTCGTGGCTGCTCAACTCATCGTCGACACCTGCCGTCGACTTCATGCTGTCCATGGACAACTGTTTGTTACCCTCCAACAAAGCTTTCTCTTCGTCGGATAGCTTCGAGTCGGATGTTTCACTTTGCAGAGGGTAATTAAGCGAGTTTTTTGGCGCCGTACCATTTGTATGTTGTGCTGCTGGCGTATCTGGTGGTAGCAAACTGGGATCGAGGCGCGCGGGCTTCGGTGGCGCCGGCGCTGGGCGTTTCTTACGGCCCAACTTCGGTGTGCCGACAGTGCTGGAACTGGGTGTGGATGCTTTGGAGCTGTCGGTCTGGCGATCGCTGGTAATGTTGGCGGTGACGCTTGTCGCCGATGGTGGTGGTGGTGTGGCTGTTGGGAATAATTCCTTGGCGAGCGGTGTGGGCGGCGCGGGCGCTTTGCGTGATTTGCGCGAACGTATTGTGCCACCCGCGGACGAAGTCAAGGAGTTATTCGAGCCGCGCGCATCCGTGTTGCGATGCAGGCTCTGCGGTGTGCTGCCGAGCGAATTAACGCTGCCATAGTAATCGCTGGAATTTTGCAGAATATACGGTGAGATGGATTGTGCGGATTTGTTGCTGAGGCGTGGCGTGGGTTCCGGTGTGGGATTTTGTGATTGTGATCTAAGTTTGTGCGGTGGTATATATTTGTATTTAAGCATCTTTTAATTGCAGATAATTTTGTTTTTCAACTTCAAATGTTTTTATAAGTGCTTACAGACAGTGCTGTGTTATAAATTGCTGTCGACATTTTAAGTAGATTTTTTGTAAGAAATCTTCTTAAATTTATTTCTTGTTTTTAATTAATTTTAGCTTTGTTTTTTTTCAGTTCAAGCGCTACTCTTACTCCCGCCAATAGCTGGCCCCTACTGACTACTGTCTAACGCCGTCAACCGCTAAGTCTGACTTTCATTCGATTGGTTTGTCGCCAAAAACTTCAGTGCCAACTTAATTAGACGTCAGCTGAATACCAATTGTTCTCAAACAATGGCGAAAATTATGGAGGAAAACTAAGCGCAAACACGGCTCACTCTTAGACAAGCCTCGGTGTGAACAGGGTGAGTACTATTTTGCGAAATTCTTGAAATGAAAACAACTTGCGAAAAGTAGACAATTCATTGCAATAAAAAGCCGCAGAAAAACCCAACAACATGCATTCAAACAACAAAAAGTGTAACTGATTAAATGTAAACAGCTTTATAACCCACAAAGGTACAACAACAAAGCCCAAAAAGAGTGCCTACAAGTGCCTTTTCTTGGTAACTTCAGTTCGTTGACCAAAATGTGGGCAAAAAAGCAAACAATAACACGCTTACATGACCTGCTGGACACTCAAACACACTTATTTATATAGAAAAACGCACATTTATAGGTGACACACAGGGTGGTTCATACGTGATTTATTTTATAGAAGAAAAAAAACTATATACATATATCATTATTTTAAGAAGTTTCTTATTTATATGCGGCTTTATAGTTTTCTTTATTTTACAGTTTTTATAGATCTTTCTGGACATAACATACTAAGAGCTGTGAATGTATGGATCACATAACATCAATAACTTTTATAACGATTTCTAATGTAAAAGAGTTCCCAGTGCAAAAAAAGTAAATAAGTTTTATTAAAAAAAAAAAAATCATATGTGCCACCCTGTACTTCCTATTTTAAACCATGTTATGAATTCAACCTTTTCAAAGCAGCCAACTCACTTAAGCACTCACAAACTCATAATTTCCCGAGCAACTCACTCATTCAACTCATTCATTTGCATAACAAATATGAGTAGTGAATAAAAAAACGTCGACATTCACAGCAACAAGCCGCCAGTCAGGAAGCAATAAATGCAGTCAAAGGTGCGCAACACGTCCGTTTAAAATGGGGCCTTAGTGTTACATAAATGGCAAAACGTGAATAATAGCGGCACATTTTTACAGTTAGGTTATGACATACATAAAGGCATTTTGGACAAATAATATGGGAAAGCATTTGCGCATGTGCATTTAAATTTTGCTAATTTAATGAGCACAAGAAGAAGGTAATGTTCTATAATAAAATTGCAGAGGAAATATAGAAAACTACAAGCCTTTGGTTCACTATATCTTTAGATCACAATGGCTGTTAAATATTATGAACGGTTTCTGCCTTACATTTAACGTCGCCATGACCTCACAACCTTCACCAGATACTTATAGGTGTCTAAAATACGCCTGGGTTTTCCTAATCCGAATAGACTTATCAATCCAACCTATGCAAATTAAAGGTCTTCAATAAGCTTTTAAGAAATACTGTCTAGATCTGTGTTCGTAACCTCTTCACAAACTATTTACATAAGCTGAATAGACTAAAAATTTTAAAATAATCATGTCCCGGGTGGACCTGAACTATTGTAGTTATAAGCGTCTAGTACCAGCCGACGAAGAGCAATGAAGCCAATTTTAGAGCAAACACGTTAAGAAAAACAGTCGGTTAATATAAAAAAATATCTGGAAAAAATATCGTTCAACTTTAAACACAAGGTTGAACCTTAATCCCGAATACCACATGTAAATATTTTGAGTTTAAACCTCAATTAATTCCTTTACAGTTTGGAACATAGACCACAATAAAGCTCGGTGATTTAAGGATTTAAGGATGCCATTCTTCAATACTATAAATCTGGATAGAAGACGGTTCGTTCTTGAAATTCAATCCAAAGTCGAGTTTTGCTACCAAAACTGGAAATAATTTGAAACAACAGCAGACAAGTATTTCCCTGGGGTCTGTATTGCAGACCCTAATAATAAGACTGGTCGGATTCTTTTTGAAGCTTGTTGTGCTATAGAATTGTTTCAGGTTTATTTTCATTCAACTATATTTATAAAATCATTCATCATCAATACAAGTATAAAATATTTGGTCAATAATACACAATGTTGTTTTGAAATCAATTAATATTCGAAGTATTTCCCATTTCTTAAAAATTTAAATACTTAATTTTTAGAAGCCAATAATTATAGTAGTTATTGCAATTATCATTACTGTCAAAATACAACAAATTTAATAAATTAAAAATGTCACAACAACAACAAAAATAATAGCAGAATCATGTGTTATTCGAAGTCATGTTGCGCGCCCACAACAACAACAAGCAAATAAGCTTTAAGGCGCACAAACAAATTACAAATACACCGTTGTGTGGGTGTTCATTTTAAATTGAGTGTGCGAAGCGGGTTGTTGTTATATAATATGCACGCCCGCACTGATTGTTTACAATTACATGGCGTATCAGCGCGGCGACAGCTTAATGATTTCGCTTTCAATATATTAGAAAAAAAGAGTACAAAAAATATAATAAAGAAATAAGTGAAAAAATAACAACAAATATTAAAAAAAAATCAAAAAAAATTATAAAAAATTCATGCATAAAAAAATCATACAATTAAAAATAAAAAAATTATAAAAAATTCATGCATAAAAAAATCATACAATTAAAAATAAAAAAAAATTATAAAATAAAAACAATTAAGCAGCAAATGCGATTTAAATATAAGAACGCGTCACGGAAGCCAAGCCAATGCTTAGAAACTCGAGTTAAGAACCGCACATTGTCAGCCGCATTTGACAACTGAAATGGGAGACCAGCTAGCATGGCATGCATATTGGACAAACACACACACATACATAAACGCTAAGGCGCATACAAAGGTGTGCAAATGTTCACATGTACATATGCATTTATGTATGTGGACATCAAGCTTACGCAAACGCCGCGATAGAATGAAAAAGTCTAGTAGGTTTATGTTTTTCATAAAAGGAGTGACAAAAACTGAAAATTAAGTACAAACGCCTAAGCAGCTTTTTTGCTGCTGTTGCCAGCTTAATGTGTCTTACACACTCGTAAGCAATAGTAAGCAGAAAACGTATATGTAGCTTCTACACACGTCACACTGTTGACTATGCGCCACTCTGATAACAATAAACACAAATCGCGGCAATAAAACACACGATAAGCGTTGAGTTGCTGTGCGTCGCTGGCGCGCATGCGCTAAACAAATTGACACCGTTGTGGAGTTTGACTCATGTACCAGTTTCACTGCGGTGATTTTAGACGCACTAATTCGGTTGAAAATATCATAAAAAAAAGGAAATATGTTAAAAATCATGAAAATGCATTTATGTACTTTTTAGTGTAAATGGGGCAGTTGAAAAACTGGGCAAGTTGTTTTGCCGCAATTTCGTTGCAAGTTTCTTTTGTGGCTGGTTGCAAAGTCGAAAAATTCAGTTAGAACATTAAGGTGTTGCATCAGCAAAGTTTTTATTTGTAGTATTTTTTAATTTCACAACTTTGAATATTATTATTTTAATATACAAGTATGTAGATACTTTTGTTTAATTCAAAATTATTTATTTCTAAATTAATCCAACTCCATAACAGCGTCTATCTGTCTTTTTGACATTCAGCGCGTTCTTCAGCTATTTCTTGCGCACAAACGTAAAGGTATTATAGATTATATGAATAATAAAACCAAGATCGGTCTAAAGAATAAATTATAAAAACATACATGTGAGTACTTATTTCACCTATTGTAAGAAACAGGTATTTTTTCTCTTCTTTTCATTGATTTTAATCTAATTTTTTCGCTAAAATGAATTTCGCTCTACAAAATAATATGTGCCACCCTAATGAGCATCTTATAAGTATGTACAGAATATTTGTTTGTACTCACATTACAAAAAAGGTTCTAGAACAGCATTGGTTACGCCGTTAAACATTCGCAAAGTCACGCAAAAAAGGAAAATATGTACATTAAAACGTGAGGTTTTTTGTACTTAGAAGTATATAAGCAAAAAAAGTATACGTTCAGGGTTGCCATTTTGATATACCTGTAAATACACAAAAAATGCTAACTTTTTCAAATCATGGGTTTTTGTACTGGGTTGACTACGCAATTTGAATAATTATTTAATTAATTTAAATTTGCGTTTCAAGTCATTTAAAAAGAAGCTCCATTTCTTTTTGCTATTAAAATTTTATTTTAGCTTTAAACAAATTTTTTTGCTAAAATGGTTCTAAAAGCTTAGCTTTGTAGGATGAACGACTTGAAATATTTTAGTAGCATAAAAATATTTTTGTAGACTTTTGTTAAGAGTATCAAAAGGAAAAAATTTAAAAGTGGCAACGCTGGTACTTTGCAAGTAAAGGGTGTTTAGTTCTCGCCTATTGGACAGTTTTTGACGACACAAGATTTCTAATTTGTAACCCACAAAGAAACGTCGGAGACACCATAAAGTATATATAGGCATAAATGATCAGAAAGACGAGATTTGGCGATTTAGTTTTTGAGATATCGATCAGAGATTTTACACACGTCTTTTTCTTCCTAAGAAGCTGCTCATTTGTCGGAAACGCAAATATCGGACAATTGTAGCATATAGCTGCCATACAAACTGACGATTTAAAATCAAGAAAAAAATCTTTTTATGCGCTTTTATTGTATGTATTTTCTAACGAAGATATTTCCTTATTAGACATTCAAAACTAGAATATGACTAGGTAGAATATGTAGATAGCTAGAGTGGCTGTCTTTCGACACACCTAGGCCTTTAGGCGCCCCATTGTGATGAAAGTAAATAGGACTAATTG